AGTAGGGCTGCTGTGAAGAACCGCGTTCGGGGCAAATTGTGAAACAATGGGGGCATAAAAACGTAAACATACTCGGTGGTCATCCTCCTCAGAGAAAACTGGGGTTTCGTCGTGTGTTTCTGCCATCTTGAATGGTGAGGTTACCTTGGCTGATTACCAGAAATCGGGTATTTTTCAGGGAAGCGCAAGGTGTAAGAAATGTAAATGGATTCAAGGGTTAAAAGAAAGTTGAAATGTTTGGACACTTATCGATCCCCGTACGGCTTTCAGGTAGTTAGTTAGATACTAATGGAAAGTACTCGACATCTTCCTGTGTAGCCGTTAACGGAATCGTAAAGAGACGGGAACTAATTCAACATCAAGTTCAGGGATGTTTTGTCCATGAAACGGCGTCGTCAATATTTTGAAGGAACGCGTCTCAAACATGGAAGCTCCCTCGTCCATTCACGTCCCTGGCCATGATCTCAGGACACTCACTGCTGGAGCTTGGGAGGAGCAGCGCTAAAGGTGCAAGCCACAGCACCTCCTGCGCCACTAACACTCCAACTTTAGTTTGTAGAGATTCGTTAATAGCCCCTGTGGATTACCCAGCGATTCGCCCCCGGGCCGTCCTTCGTGAACTTCCTAGGTATTGTTCGTCCATCTGTTCACATCATACCTGATTCCCAAAAAAAAAAAAAAAAAAAAAAAAAAAGTGAACGAGTGAATCACGATGACTACTTGACTACTTGATTGCGCGAGTACTTGAGATCTTGCCGTCATCAAATCACAACGGAATCATTCCCATTCACCCAGCAACAGCCTCAAAGAGCGCTCTCATCAAACATTTATTGTCAACTCAGTTGGTATGGACATTTCATTTCATTAAACATGTAATCTCAGCTATACCCTCGCAAGTCTTGTCATCATAACCAGCCTCTCCATCGGATCATCACCCTTCAACCGAAGAAGCGCACCCCATCTTACGTGGTCCAACCAATTTGCCGTTTAGCACCAGATCTGTCTGCTTTAGTAAAGGAGCGAAGCATACAGCCAGTCCCAAAGTAGAAACACGAAAGCAAAGGACCACAAGCTCAAAGGACTAACTTTGTTTGTCATCTCGAGACGTCTTCCTCTTCCTCCTCCTCCTTATTTTTCTTCTTCTTCTCCTGTAGGCAATTGCCCAAGAATAAGACCCTGATGGAAATACATGAAAATAACCAAATCATCATGATCGTTGAAGTGCCTGTTTATACTCATCATTTCGGCGTTCTCTTCTTCCAATCCACCTCGTTGAAATAACTTGGCTTTTCCTTCCCCCTTTGGAATCCCCTTTGCTGATCTTCGTGTTTCCAGATATTTGTAACAACAAGACGGATGAATGCAAAAGAGAAGCCAGTGAGAACCCTGAGGAAGAATCCTGTACGGCCTGAATACCTAGGAAAAGGCATGCATGTATCTCGTGAAAGCCAACAAACCCCACAAGAACAACAGCAAAACAATAACACCCCTAGATAGTGATTTGATGACCAATGGTTGAATATGAATATGTTGCGCGAGAGACCAAAAGACGAACAGATGGACAGATAGACACCAAACGGAACCAAAAGGGAAGAAGGAAATGCAAAACCACCACCAACTAGTTATACAGAAACATCTTCGTTCTTTCGCTGACTCTTCCCCTTCCACATAACTATGACCGAAATCCTCATTCGGCACTTCCATATCTAAGTCCAAGAAAAGGAACATCAATGCGCCACTTTTTCGCCTTCTCTGAGAATTTCCGTATTTCCTAGAGCCTTCCACTCAATAGCATATTCAAAGCGGTGACTATAAAACAGTTCCGCACAAGTCCTTATCGTCAGTTCGGACGCAGACAAACACAAAACTTGTTTGTTTCCTGGCCTTTACGCATTCGTCAGGAACACGGGAGACACTCGAGAGAGTCTTGTATACAGCGATCGCATCGACCGCCATTGGAGGGTTGCCGGACACACTTTCGCTTGCTCGTTCGGCACTGGCGACATGGAATCGGCTGTCCTCTCAACCCAAGTTGTACAGGCTGCTCGGGAGTACTGAGCCCGTGCCCTCCTCAGGCAGCAGCCTCCGCCATCTCAGAAGACTTAGTCTGCATTGCCTTTCATTAGCTTGTGTCTTCATGTCAAGTGACTTGTGCAGTCTGGGGACTGATGCAACATACCTCTTCGGTCTCTGCCTTCTCAGTCTTCTCCTCCGCATCCTTCTTCTCGGTCTTCTCTTCCATGTCCTTCTTCTCGGCCTTCTCCTCGGCCTTCGCATCGGCCTCCTCCATCTTGGAGTCGCCATCCTTGTCCTTGGGGGTCTCCTCAGCCTTATCAGACGTGGACGGCTCCTCGTTCTTGCCCTTGGCGCCGTTGGTCTTGCTGCCGTTCTCCTTGGCCTCCTTCTCGGCCTCCTTCGCCTTCCCGTTGACGCCATTAGTGGTGGCCTCCTTATCAGCTGAGGGGGCGGGCGCGGAGGCAGCTTCGCCGGCAAGAAGCTTGTTCCATTTGTCCAACAGTGTTTGCGAGCGAGGCTTAAACTTGAACTCCTCTTCCTTGGGGATGTTCTCGAGCTTAAGGATAGCCTTGAGCACCTTGTTGATCTTTGTGGCCCTGATGATGCTAACTTCAAGATCTGGGAACGCTTCCAGCTTGGTCAAGAACTCAGACATGACCTTCATCTCTTCGGGCTTGGGTTCCTGGTCTCTGGTGAGCAGGCCCTTTTGAAGCTTATGACGGAGGAACAACACCTCACGCTGTTGAAGCCATGGCAAGTCAGCAATTAGCACTCCTTAAACTCGAGTTTCTCGTGCATCAACATACCTCCTTGCGAGTATGTTTCTCCTCGGGCGTCAATTCTTGCTCCTTGGGAGTAGCGGCTTCCTTCTCGCCCTTCTTCTCCTCCGTCTCCTTAGTCTTCTTGGCCGGCTTAGCCTTCGAGGCCTTCGCTTCCGCTGCGGGCTTAGCAGTCTTGGGGGTAGCCGCGGCACCGTTGGCGGTCTTGGCGGTCGAATTAGTTGTCAACTTTATCTTGGGCTTCTTGACCGACTCTGACCGCTGAGGAGTTTCCTGTTTCCGTATCAAATTAGTTAGCGCATGTTAGCCACTTCTTGCCCAGACGCAACTGCGGCTCACCTCTACCGGCTCCTCTGCCTTTCTCTTCTTTGCCTTCTTCTTGTCGGTCTGGGGCTGCTCGTCGCTCGCATCGGCCATCTCAACGTCCTCATCCTCGCTGGGAGCGGTCTTGGACTTCTTTCCCTTGGGAGTGGCGGCAGCCTTGGCAGCCTTGGCCTTCTCCTGCTCAATCAGCTCCTCCTGGAACCGCTGCAGAACCTCCTTGTAGAAAGACAAAGGGTGGGACTCGGCAGCCAAGTGGTGCGCAGCTGCAAGGTCCTTGCGCATCTTGTCCATCTTCATATCCTTGATGGCTGTAGGATCGAGCTCGATAAGCTCTGTGTTGACCACCCAGCCGCTATCGTTCGAAGTAAGATCAGTCTAGTTAGCTAGGAACCCGGAATGACGGCTAGATGGAGCACACAAGCAGGTTCGCGACGCGACTGCTCGTCCAAAAAACTTACAATTCGTTGGTGTGAAGATACATGACTGGATAAGTACGGTCGTGTGCCCTCTTGCCGCCATCGGCAAAGTCTTCGCGGTAGGTGCCATCAGGACGCATGGCGGAGACGGGTCGCGACTTGATGAGCGACTGGGGAAGCATGTCCTCATCGCAGATGATAACTGGCCATTGGGGGAAGCCCTTCAGCTTGACGTAGTAGTGGTCGCCAGGCTGCGCGTCGAGATGGAGCTGCTTCGTCTTGCCAGCCTTCTTGCTGGGCTTAGAGCCACCGCCGACGGACTTGCGACGACTGCTCGAAGACTTGCTCTTGGACGTGGCGGCCGCGGAAGCAGCAGGACTGGCATCGTCGGTCTGCTGAGTTTGCGCTGCCGACTCGGGAGCGGGAGTCTGAGCGGCACTAGCATCGGCCATTTCAACGTCGGACTTTTCTGTTTGGTCTTGTTCGGGCTTATCTGTGACCTTGTCGTCGGACTTGTCGACGGGCTTGTCCTCGGTGTCTAATGAGAGGAGAAGGTTATAATTAGCTAAGATGCTCTGAAGGGATGATTGCGGGTGGGCGGATAGATGGATGACGGATGATGGGTGGTGAATGGTTGCCTCCTGGGTGGCCGGGCAGGTGAATGGTGGTGGATTCTAGATACCTCGGGCAGCCTTGTCCGACTCTTGTTCGGCTGGCGCTTCGCTAGGCGCAGGCGCAGCAGTCTCACTAGCACTGGCCGCCTTCTCCTCGGCGGCGTTGGCAGCGGCAGGTTCCTCCTTCTTTGCCTCGCCGGCTTGGGTAGTCGCAGGTGCAGGCACGGCCTCCTTCTCAGCAGCGGGTGTTGGCGACGCGGCCGCAGCAGCCGGCGCGTTGGTCGTGGAGTCGTCAGACATGGTATGTGATGGGGTGGGTGATGGTACTAATCCGGGTTGCAGCGGGTGGCGACGTGATGTCAGAGAGCTAGTATCAACGGGCCGTGGGTGATGGATGCCGCGATGGTCGAAGTCGGATTCCAATCAGATGCTGATTCCGGTCGGGAGGTGGAAAGAAACAAGAAAAAAAGATAAAAAAAATAAAAAAGACAGAAAAGGGACACGACGCGTGATTGCGCGTGGAGAATTGGATGGATGGATGGCGGGTCGAGGCTACCGAAAGCTTGTCGGCTCGTTGGTGGCTATCTACGTCAACGCGCGCGTGACTTTTTGTTGATGATGCGATAAGCTTCCCAAGGTAGAGGTAGCACTGATGCTGTCGAGTTGCAGGTTGATGATGATGATGGTGATGATGATGGATGGGCAACGGCAACCGTGGACAGATGATGGGAGGACGGGGCGGGTCACAATGCGCAGAAGCTTGGACAATGGAGAGGATCCGTACTACTGGGCGGGAAGGGAAAGTAGTCGAAGGGAAGCTTTGCAGTTAACAAGTCCTTGTTTCTTCTGTCTTCGCGAAAGAGAGAAATTATTTGAAGGTGAGCCAGACTTGGTCCGAGCGTCGCCTGCCTTCTATGGAACTCTAGTGATGTCTTGCGGCTTGTCCGCGGGAGGAGCAAGGAGCCGAACGGAGCTGG